GTGGCGTTTGGCGCGAAATTATGGATAGTGGCGCGCCTTTCAAAGTTCTTAGACAGGTGTATTGTTGAAGAAGTATATACAAAAACATTCTGAGCAGTTGACCCAGTAGCGTAATTTAAGCGCGTTGGGAATGAAAGAGAAAAAAAGAGCGTTGTATTTTCACGCTTGCTACCTGGATTCAATCCACTTTGTGACCAAATTTTTTTTTATCACTTTTCAGTTCGATTTTAGATTTTTTTTATCCTGAATCGGACGGAAGACCTCTCGTTGCTCGCAACGAGATCGTTTCTAGTTTGTATATATTATTTTAATAGATATCGACGATAAATGATTTGTTAGTGATACGAATCAATATCTTCAATTTAATGGATTAGCAGAATTCATTAAAAGAAAAAAATTAACTAACGGCCGTTAATTTATTCTAAATTCTATTCTTTAGATTGTTTGTTGTTTTTACGTCCGTCTCGAGAACTTTTCATTCATATGTAGACGCCACCACTTGCCCATGGGAAGCTACAAATTTTGTCTCCATTCTTTAGAAAAAACATCCTTAAATTAAATGTGGACATAACAAATAAACATTTCTTTCTCATTTAGAGAGATTTAAATCTCCTTCTTCCAAGAGTAAATCCATCGCTTTTTACGCGTACATGTCTCAGAACACAGCGAATATATCTGGTCAGCAAATCTTGACATTTGATGTCGTGAAAACTAACGTTGGATGTGGATACTATTATGCAACTGGAATATTTATCGTCCCGGAGACTGGCATATATATTTACTTGGACAATATGAGAAAACAGCGCTAACCGTCACTCGACACAGTTAGTGAAAAATACTGATGAGCTTGGAATAATTCACACACACGTTCACCACGACTCGGACATTGCTGGAACTGGAATTGTTGTTGCGCATGTCAATACAGGAGACAGCGTCTTTGTAAGAACTCACTCATCATGGAATTCTGGCTTTATTGTAAGCAACAGTGCAGGAAGATCGTCGTTTGCGGGATGGAAACTTGAGTGAAAATTGTATATTCTTATTGTAGAGACGTGTGTTGTAGAAGTGTGTAGTACAGATTCTGGATAAATATCATCCATTAAATTGAAAAAAACTTACATTTTTATATTTATTAATGGTGGCTACTAAAAGTGATTTTTTAATATGTGACTTTATACTGGAATATTGGTTTGACTAGAGTTGTCCATCGAAAAAAAACCCCACTAAAAACAAGATTGGCTTTCCTAAACCTTCTGAATGTCATCTCTTAAGTTTTACTAATGCCTCAGATTAATATATATATAAAGCACACATGAAATTTGTAATTCTTCGAGAATTGCTAAAATTTTAGCGTTCCTTTTGTTCTTATTTCCCGACCACTTTTTCTACACCACCTAAAAAGTTTTAATAAAGGCCCAAAGTAGATATTTTCCTAATTAATCTTATTCCTTTTTTTTAGTGATTTTGCCATCGTCACTCAGGACATCATAGCAAAAATGAGTCACTCTTGCATCACGCTCTTCTGCTGTCCAGTTTCAAATTGTAGTGATAGAATTTAAGGATCATGAAAACGTTATATACTACAGGCAAAAATAGCAAAGAAATCGGGAAAAAGTTTACTTATTTGTCTTCAAATGCACCATCCAAATCATTAACATTTACATGTTGTTTTATTCCTTTCTCTGTGTCCAATTGCAACTGTCAACATACGAAGAACAGACATAACATTGATTTCTGAAAACGGAAGCACCGCTTCAATCTTCATTTTTTCATTCGAATCTAGTGCTGTATACGTAAAAGTATACTTGATTTTTAAAGTCTTTGTTGGAACAAAGCAGCCTATGTGTTATGTGTGGACAACTGGAACTTCTTGCTTATCCGCCCCCGTGTTTTTTTGTGTGGCTGTAAATGAATATTTAAAGTGTATAGAAAAATATACAGTCATATACAGATCTTTTTTTTATTAGTAATGTTAAGACTCACAAAGCACTATATGTAGGTGGATTAAAATGATGATGTTAAGTCCGGAATTGATACGCAGTACAGTTAAGGTGCGCAATGGAAATATCGATTAAATTTTGTATTTGAAAATGTATTCGTAATCGGATTGGCGATTATTTTTAGTACATTATTTATATCGGATAATTGTAATTATGATTACTAACTACATATCGAGGACGATTATATTTTATATTTAGACTAGTCACGTGATGCGGCAGTCACGCGATTTTAGCACATTGACTTGAAGTATTGAAGTTACATATACATATCACTAGTGTAAGGGCATAACCAAGTTAAATTTCCAAGTTTGGCATATAAATATTTTCAACATGCATTGTAGTTTCTAAAAAGTGCTGCGATCCTGTCTAAATTCTGCAATTTAATTGTTAAAATTATACTTGTATGACCGCATGCTATATTTTTTGCTGGTCAGCGGCATGAAATATTGATATAATTAATTTGTATTTAAGATTTCATCAGGATCGCGGCACTTTTCAGATACCTTAATAGTTCTTTAGTTGAAATGTAAAAGCTTACATTGATCCATAGAGTGTATGCCCTTGCACTAGATCGATTTATTAAGACCCCCCACATTACCCTCTGATGTACTTGCATACAAATATACGGCAGTGTAAATTAAATACATAATGTACAGAAATTATATTAATAAAATAGTGAAGAAGACATTAAATTCAAGTTATTAGCCCATAGAATATCTGTAAATAATATTTTATCTAATTAGAGAATACATATTTTGTTGAGAAAATATTACTTGATCTGTCTCTCACTGCATACAAACTACGTCACGTTGTAAGAAATGACGTCATATTGACAAGTGTATTGCGATCAGTGACTTGTTTATAACTTGCTATGTGGGATTTAACTAACGACAAAACAACACGCTGTAGTAAGTTTTTATGTAGTTTGATGATTTCTTAATGGTTAAATTAGCAGATAAACTCGTTTTGTGGTATTTTAAAGAAATGTTGAATGACGTATATTTTGTATGATGTCATAGTCAAGTTTTCCCGTACAAATTAGGCTCCGCCTCCTTTTTGTAACCTTAACTGTGCTGCGTAGGTTAAAATGGCAGGTCAACAGGTGATGGCCACTCCTATAGACACCTGATCTCACATGTGGTTTGTCCAGAAGTCCATGTTTTTGCTCTGTTTAAGTTTCGCTTTCTTTAATTGATTTATGAGACTTTTAATTTTACCTTCATCTTTTTCAAAATTCTGCATCACATGGTGTAAGATATGTTTCAGCTTAAAGAGCATCTGAAAACTGTATACTAGGACCAGATGATTATATATAAGATATTGCATGTCGGACAATGAACAGACTTTTGCTAAGTTCAATAGAAAACCTTTCAAAATGCAAAATTGTATCAACAAGCTTTATTAAACAAATGGAGATAATGAACAGTATTCAAAATCAAAAGTCCATAAAACAATACAAAGTAGGAGCAGAGCAAAGACAGATCTCTAAAACATCAGAAAAGGGATTAGGTGCCATGGAGGAGTGAGTATCCCCTGTCGCCCGCTCACAGGCGCCATGTGCTCCTTGTCAAGATCGGGAAATAAAGGGAAAAAAACTGTGTATAAATAATAGATTAAAAATAAATAACTAAACCCTCGGTAAGTATTTGACTCAATGATAAATTGTACTTGCTGACAAGGTCATTATTTCGACCATAAAACTTACGAAATGTTGACTTTAAGCAAGACTGCTAAAATTCAACTTGTTTGTCAATAATTTACCTCGTTTTAGAAATTGTTCATACGTAGAGCAAGCTCTTTCGTATCGAATCAACTGAGACATTTAAACTCCGTATGCGAGTGATGAAGGTATACTGCTGCATAAGTAAGGGAAGTTTACGATAGAAAGGTAATCACTTTTATCATAGATCTTGGTCGTTAGATTACCGTAACGTCTTTCTTAAGTAAAATATACAAATATAAAACAGATGTGTCAGACTCTGTGGTATTTGGAATTTTAAGGTGCATTTTCATAATTTGATATCGATAGTCGGGTGATAAAGGTATATATTGCTGCATAAGTAAGGGGTGTTGACGTTAGAAAAGTTAAAGTCATCACCTGTATCATTGAGCTTGTTTGTTAGATTACCTTTTTCCAAGATTTTGTTAGATCGTCTTTTCCAAGCAAAAATCCAAGTATGAAACATACGTAACGAAACATGTGAGTCATATAATTACTGAAGGAGCCAGATGCACAGTGCTTGGATTGGATGACTAGTTTTCCTTCCCTCCCTCTTATCGTTGACAACGACTTCATACTCTTGTTACTTTGATTGGATGCTTAAACGCTTACTGGGTATTAGCTTTGAAGTCCTCATTTGGAAATACGCAACACGAATCCCATCTGTCTAAATCTTTTCAGTTTTAGTACACATACAGAATCCCAACCAAACTTCACTTTTTACCATATAAATGTAAAGCTGTGACATTTGTTTCTTTCCCGATTTAATTGTTAAATTTAATTCTCCATACAGGATAACATAGATTTTGAAGCGGAAAGGAGTATGATATGTTTCAATTCCCTAAATGGTCATAGACATGATATAAAATATATATTTTTCAGAGGTGTTGATAAAATTTCATGACGTACTAGTTCATGATACCAAAGCATTTTAAACCGCCCAATTCTTAATTTGTAATTTCTTATCTTATAATTATCAAACATAAAACTATACTAAAAAAGCTAGAGTTCATTTTAAAAACATTTTTGTGAAAGATTTCAGGATCGCTGTAATGATTTAATATTTTTAAAATATCACATTAAAATCATTTGATTATTTTCTTACAGACAAACTGGAAAATTTATAATTTCAAAACAAACGACAACGCAAGTGTGGTTATGCCTTTTCATTTTTTTCTAGATTACCCTCCAAACAATGTTGCACAAGAATTCGGAAATAACGGCCACTTATTCCTCTTGACTTTTATTGTTTTCGTTCCCTTATCTAAAAGTGCACCCCTAGATAAGTGAACATGGCGTTTTACTCCAGATACCTTGGGCTTACTCATTCTACATTTCAATATGTCACACAATCGCTTATATAAATAGGAGAAATATATGATTTAGTTTTCTTGTTTGATTGTTTAAGCTGCAATGAAGTTGTTACTAGTTAGTGTTCTAATCTCTCTAGAGGGGATAATTTGCCTTCCTTCTCTTATGGTGAATGATGTATCGGATAAATCCCAGACCTTATCGGATACCACATCGCAAAAAGCCTCAAGTGTTCTCAGAGATATTCTTAACAAGGAAAGCATAGTTCGCCTCTTAGTGGTTCAAAACGTTCAGAAAATAGCAATGGACGCCATTGACAACAGAAATATTACGGAGACTTTGATAAAAAGGCTTGATAATATAACTAAACACGTCAACGCTTTGGAAACAAAGCAAAAGAAAATGGAAATGGAGAACAAAAAACTTTATGACGAACTGAAACTCTTGAGTTCTACAAAAAATGACAATGAAAATTGTTCGAGTGATGACATACATCTCTTAAATGAGACAGATATAACAGTTTATAAGAAAAAAAACTTTGACTCTGCAGAAACAAAATCGTGAACTAATTCTGGAAAATACAGAAATGAAAGCAAAACTTGAGTATTTTTCAAAAATAAACAAGACAAGTCAATCAGGAGCAATATACGATCAGATAAAACAAGATGCTGAAGCAATAAAGGACAAAGATTTGAAAATTCTAAAAAATGAAACATTGCTTCTCAGACAAAAATATGAAAGTCTGTCACACGAAAACGAAGAAATCAAGAAAAACTTACATCAAATAAACAAAGTAATATACGAAGATAGAAACACCAGCAACATGAATACACGGTTACTGACAACCGAGGAATGGGTGACTTTTTCGGCTTTTGTCAACAGAACACTTGGACATATTCTTGAAGATCAAAATAAAGCTAATCAAAAACTCAACAATATTTCTACGAAAATGTCAGGTAACTACGCTTATTCTATAATTTTTACATTTTTAAAACGTATACAGAATTGGCAATTTTATTTTTGTACACTATTTTCAATATTTTGCGAAAATCTATAAAAGCGGTGATAGAGAAGGACAAATCTTGATAACAAATAAATATGCTATTCATCTCTCATGAAACATATGGAGATAACGAACAGTATTTAAGCTCAAAAGTCCGTCCATAAAACAATATAAAATTGGAGCAGAGCAAGCACGGACCTACAAAACCTCAGAAGTGGGATTAGGTGTCATGGAGGAGTGAGCATTTCCTGCCGACCGGTCACATACCACACTTGTTATGATCGGGAAAAAGCAGAGAAATCCGTCGTCAACTCAGAGTATAGATATTGACAATTAACATGAAAAACATCATGCAGTCAGCATTAGACTCAATGATAAACTGTATTTGCTGACAAAGTCATTGCATTAAGAGGTCAAAGAAATTACGAAATAATAACTTTAAACGAGACTGCTGATATTCTTGTTTCATCAACTTGATTGTAAATAATTCATCTCGTTTTAAGAATTAGATCTTAACGCCACGTTTGTAAAATTAAATAATGTCGTCGTTGAGATATAATCTTACTCTTATTCATTTAATTTGATAGTTAAATATAATTATTTTTAAAAATATACATGTATACCGTTCATATTTTCTTCCAGGAAAATTATATTCTTCCACAAAGAAACCCGTTGCATTTTACGCATATATGTCCAAGCATACACCAACGATAACTGTTCAATATCCTTTGACTTTTGATGTCGTGAAAACAAACATTGGAAACGGGTACCATTCCTCTACAGGAGTTTTTATTGTTCCGGAAACTGGAATCTATGTATTCACATGGACAATTAGAATGTATGGTGGTTATAAGCATTCAACGCAATTGATGGTAAATACAAATGAAATAGGAATAATTCACGCTGATGTCAACCATGATTCAGACTTTTCAGGATCGGGGATCGTTGTGACGCATGTCAATGCGGGAGATAACGTTTTTGTGAGGACGCATGCTTCCTGGAATATTGGCGCTATAAATAGCAACTCTTCAGGAAGATCCTCATTCGCAGGCTGGAAACTCTCTTAAACAAACAATGCTCTTAAGTAGAACACAAAAATAAAACTAGATGCTGTCATGAGACAGTAATACCCGCACTGTGTTTGCCTCTAAATGCACACTTCTTCATATTGGGCTTTACAAAGGAGGAAGTCAATATAATTCAATAATTACATAATAATTTACATAATACATGTATTCATCAAATTGAGCATAATATGCTCAGGTAACCATGTAGCTGCATATCTGTAGCTTTATGGTACAAAGATTAATTATTAATATATAAAACCATAACGCTACAGATCTGCAGCTAGTGACCATGTGACTCATGGGCCTCCATCTTATAGGTATTTCATATTCCTAATTCATTACCAGACTGAAATTAAACAACAGAATTAAATTAATGATGTAAATTAGGTTTGATAAAGGGAGGAGGGGAGGGGGGATTTTTGGCACATAATTGGAACTTTTTAAATCTATTTTTTCATATAGATCAACAACAAACAATATTATTCAAATTAGTGTAAAGCGTTTTTGATGAATTTTTTCAAAATGTGCAAAGTTTATTTATATTTGATTAGGCAGAAACTTCTTGAAAGCTGCCATATACACAATCAATTTAGTCAACCCCCACTCCTCTCCCATCAACACACAAACACACACCCTCACACACACACCCTCACCCTCACACACACAAACACACCCTCACACACACAAACACACCTTATTTGCCTGTTTTTGGAAATAGGCCTAGATGGCAAAGTTAAGATAAAACATCTTTTGTAAATGATAATTTTCAATTTGTATTTGCACTGAATACATGTACATATCTGAACCCCTGCATCAGATTGAGCTTGCGTCACGTACCCAACTAAGTACTAGTTTTACCATTGACATTATCATTGTAGATTTCACTGCACGTGCAGTAGGCTACTAGTATGCATCATAGCATGTATGTCAGAAGGAATTATTTCATTTTGTGTTTTAATTGGATTATATTTCATGAAGATGTCAGGACCTAAATAATGACAATCGGTAAGTACAAGTTTTGGTATAGATTTGTGTAAAATAGTCTGAAATACAAACGGTTAGGTTCAAGTTTAAAGGATCAAAGGTCATCCGACGCTACAATAGACGAATTTCACATTCTGAAGAGTTATCCCCCGTTATCAAAGTTACATTCAGTTACAAGATCCAGATTTTTTTTTTCTCGGGGGGAGAGGGGTTTCCAGATCAGAATTTCCTGAGAAGCAAAAAAAAAAAAAAAAAGTTATGGTTGGGACTGTTTTCTAGGGTGGAGGGACACTTAGTGTATCCAAAGTCATTTTTATTTCCTCCAGTGTATATTATAGTCCTGCAAATTCGGGGGTGGGTGGGTGGTTGGTTTAGGGGGCGATCTCCCAATCCACTTCCCTGTCCCTGTAATGACAAATGATCAAGTGACTCCTAAATAGTAGGAAACTTTTTCCATTTGACTATACATAATTTTGTTTCTTGTGTTATTATGTTATATAAATTTAATGGTATAAAGGTTATGAGCCCCTGGAGGTCATCCCCACTCTCCTAATGAGCTGGAAATGTTCACAATATGACTGCATTAAATTAAATAAAAGTGCATCAATGATAAGATTGCTTGACATTTTATTCATGAATTTGTGTCAACCTATATCCTCCTAGAATTAGGAGTGAAAATCGTTCAAAGAGATGGACCACATTAAACTATTTGTATAAACATTTTTTTAAATGTAAAAAAGAAGTAGTAGTTTGCATGTATACATGAACAAACAGGGGTCTCGGAAGGGGTGAGGGGAAAGATCGAGTTAATATTTATTTACGTCTTAATGGTTGAAAACTCCTAAAATGAATGTTGACCTCAAATCTAACTTGTCCTCATTATTTTTCAAGTGGAGGTGTCTCCATATGAGTAAAAAATTCCTGAGAGGGATGTTCAACAACAAACAAAATGACATAAAAACACAATATTGATTTGCGTTAAGAAATATGCAGGGGATTTTTTCCATCATAAATCTTCTTCTCAAGAACAGCAGGGGCATTATTGTCCCCCGTTTTTGGGGGAACATTAAATCTCATTTGTATCAGTCTGTCCATCTTATGGACAGCTATTTTGGGCATTTGTCACAATAAATTTAACCTTAGTCATAACTTTTGAATAATAAGAGATAGTGCTTTCATATTTCACATGTACATAACCACAAAACGTTCTAAATAAACTACACTGTATTAAATTTTTACCCAAGTGAGACCTTGACCTTAAAGTTTTACCTACTTGCCAAAAAATAACATTTTAAATTGATCATTTTGAAAGAGAAAAGAAAGGGCATTCAAATTATACGTGTTTATTACATGTGAAAAAATTTTTCTAAATATATCATGACTTTTGACTCTGTGACCTTGACCTAGAAGTTTCACCTACTTTTCAAAAATATTATAATGTATATATAACTTTTGATTCAAAAGAGATAGAACTTTCATATTTGACATGTACATTACCTGCAACAAAATGTTTCAGAGCATGCTATGATTTTTCCCCTTTGACCTAATTTTCAAAAATTGATATATGATAGGGGTGCATATTTGACACACAATCTGCCATAAATTATGGCATCCCATTCACTAAAACATAGAAAGCAGAGGACCACAATTCTTTGAATTTGCTTGTATAATCTTGATAGATGGGAATATCCTCATATAATGTAGATTCAAGTTTATTATGCCACACCATGATTAGGAATACATGTATAGTTTTTGTCATGTCCGTCCTCCACCCTTCCATCTGTCTTTCCATCAGGCTCAAAGAAACTTTCTAGATATTTTTATCAAAGTTCATATGTTGATGCATACTGATGTAAATATCCAACTGCAGCAATATTTTTTGACTTTGACTTTTCCTTTGACCTTCACTTAACTTTTCTTTAAATTATAGTGTTTAGCTTTATTTCAAAGAAACCATTTAAGTTGTGTAATGAAACTTCACATGATGATACATACTGGTATAAGCTTTACAATGCTTCACTCTTTTTTTACCTTGACCTTTCCTGTGATCGTGACCTCACTTTTCTAAAATTAATGTCTAGATCAGTTTTGAATAAACAATTCAAGATTTATTTATCAAACGTCATATGCTGATGCATACTGATGAGAGCTATTAATACATCAAATTATTTTGACCTTGAATTTTCCTTTCACCTTGACCTCAATTTTTTCAAATATGTAATTATCTAAGTTTTAAATAAACCATTAATTATAGTTTTATCAAACTTCATATGCTAATGGTAAGTTCATACTAATGTAAGCTTCTCAACTGCAACAACATTTTGGCCCCAACCTTTCCTTTGACCTCTCTTTTCTTAGAAAAAGCATTAAGCTCAGTTTCATTAAATCATTCAAGATATTTTTATCAAACATAATATGCTGATATGTATTATTGTGAGCTACTCAACTGCATCAAAAACTTCACCTTCCACATTCCTGTGACCTTTACCTCCATCCTTTTAATATGTATTTCGCTTTGTTTAAAAGAAATAATTTAAGACATTTTAATGTTTAGCTTGCACTTAAACATAATTTGGTGAGGATTTATAATCTATATCCAATTTATTTAGATTTTAGTTTCAATTCTAAAAAAACTGTTCGAGATATTTTCAACAAACTTTATACATTAATTAATACAAATTTTCATGTAGCATGAGTAATATACATCCAGTAGGACATTCATGTCCTATAGACATATTTCTAGTTTTTCAAATCATGACCTCAAAGGCTAGGGTCACGCAACAATTAGGGATCAAAGTGTTATTTAGGAATAAAAGGAAACAAATCTTCAAAGTTATCCTTTTCAAGAACAACAAGAGCATGATTAATATGGAAAAATTCTCAAGGTGTAAATTCTAGTTTGTACAAATCATGACCCCCTGGGTTAGGCAGGGGCCATTTTTTCCTGCCCCTTTTTGCCATCTACATAAAAATGCAAATTCTGAAACCATTTTACATATACACAAAACAAACCAATCATTTTCCAAATGATCATGGTTTAAAGCTAATACATAAAATATAATGGAAGTTCTTGAAAGCAGGGTGATTAAAAATATCAAATATTTAAGAAAAAAAATTCTACTACCCATTTGACACCCCGGGCAAAATGAAAATTTTGCAACGTTACTGCACATCTACATGACAACACCAACCATCTCTTAAAAGATAATTAGGCTACTGAGTCAATTTATGTAAGAGAAGTTCAGGGAAGACGGTGCTTTTTGCATAAAAAACATCATTTTTCGAACCCCATTTGACCCCCCGGGGGGGGGGGGGCAAAATCAAAATTCCGAATCCTTACTGCACATCTACATGACAACACCAACCATATCTCAAAAGATGATTAGGCTACTGTGTAAAATGTAAGAGGAGTTCAGGGAAGACTGGGCTTTTTGCATAAAAAACATCATTTTTCGAACCCCATTTGACCCCCCCCCCCGGGGGGGGGGCAAAATCAAAATTCCGAAACCTTACTGCACATCTACATGACAACACCAACCATATCTCAAAAGATGATTAGGCTACTGTGTAAAATGTAAGAGGAGTTCAGGGAAGACTGGGCTTTTTGCATAAAAAACATCATTTTTCTACCTCCACTTGACCCCCCGGGACAAAATCAAAATTCCGAAACCTTACTGCACATCTACATGACACCACTAACCATCTCTTCAAAGATGATTAGCTTACTGTGTAAAATGTAAGAGGAGTTCAGGGAAGACTGGGCTTTTTGCAAAAAAAAAAAAAACATCATTTTTCTACCTCCACTTGACCCCCCGGGACAAAATCAAAATTCCGAAACCTTACTGCACATCTACATGACACCACCAACCATCTTCCAAAAGATGATTAGCCTACTGTGTAAAATGTAAGAGGAGTTTAGGGAAGACGGGGCTTTTTGAATAAAAATCATCATTTTTCGACCCCCATTTGACCCCCGGGGCAAATTAAAATTCGGAAACCTTACTGCACATAAACATGACACCACCAACCATCTCCCAAAAGATGAT